CTGAGAGGGCGATAGCAGGGGAGGGGTTGTAGCCAGGGGAAAAACGGGAGGGGGTACCCATCCCTAGCAGGAACAAAACACAGAAAAGTTTCCAGCCATATCAGGCTAGTCTTATGACTCTACCATGCTGGCTAAGAGAGCCAGGATTTACAGGGCTCTAGAAATGTATAATGTTTCGGGATGAGTATCCAGTCTGTCCACACGGAAGCCATTGGTGGACAGCAGCTGTCCCTGAAGGAAGGCCATGGGACCTGGAGGACCTCAGGTTGGAGGCTAAATGAACTGTATGTTAGGAAAAGTGACAAGCCAAGAGTGGTCTGACCCACGGAGGTGCTTCAATCACAGGCTTCTCCGCAGGCCCCTGGCAGTAATCAATACCTCTCCTTCTCCAAATCTCCCACCTCCACCAGTAACCTCACATTCTAATCAAAAACATGGTGCCTGTACACAAAAGCCATTTTATGGCACGTCATCTAAACTGCTACCCCCAGCTCAGCCTAGATAGAAAAGTATGGAGCTACCACTAGCCTCGTTGTCTTCTGGAGGGTCTGGATAGGGATTCTGTGAGTTTCTTAGAGTGTTGCAAGGGAGTGATCTCTCTCCTATTGTAATTGGGGTCAGCCAGAGACTTCTGACCTGACATTGTACCAGCTATAGCTGAAGGAGGGGGAGAGGATAGTGACAGAAAAACACTGTAGGATGCAACGGGCCTGGGAAAAGACTTCTTGGAAAAGAAGGGGCTGGCAGTGACTAATAGTCCTCCAGCTTCGGGATGGACATTACAGACCATGTGGAAGTTAAAACCAGAGATGGTTGAAAGAAAAGAAAAGAGAAGAGAAGAGAAGAGAAGAGAAGAGAAGAGAAGAGAAGAGAAGAGAAGAGAAGAGAAAAGAAAAGAAAAAAAAGAAAAGAAAAAAGAAAAATTTTCCCTCCGAAACCAGTTTGGTTCAGTGGATAGAGCGTCGGCCTGCAGACTCATGGGCCCCAGGTTCGATTCGGTTGAGGGCATATACTTTGATTGCAGGCACATCCCAAGTAGGGGGTGTGCAGGAGGCAGCTGGTCGATGTTTCTCTCTCATCGATGTTTCTAGCTCTCTATCACTCTCCCTTTCTCTCTGTAAAAGATCAATAAAATATTTTTTTAAAGAAAAAAGAAAAAAAAATTTCCCAATGTGGAGGTAGGAACCAAACGCTTCAACTAATGTCACCTCCTCGGAGAGTGGGGGTGGGGGGTAATTCTAAGGGGAAAAGAGCTCTTTGGCTAACAAGCCTTTAAAGAAGGCATGTCTTGAGGTAGGAGGAGGGCCTACATGAACTTTGAAGTTATTGTCACACGAAGGTCCACTATGATACTCACCCTCACTGTCTTCTAGACACCACAACCCCCTCCACTCCAACTGAGTCTCTCCTTCTGAAGCACCTGGCTGGCTTGCTACCTGCTATTTCTGCTTCTTCAGTAGGGAAGAGCTGTGTGTCTTCCCCTTCTCAAGGTCACAGCTGTCTGGGCTGGAAGGAAATCTGCTCCCTCCATCCTCTTGATGTTTGACCCTAGAGATTAGCACAACACTTGGCAAACAACATAGATGAGTCTCATCCATCTCATTCATTCCATGCATTTAGTGAGGACTACTAAGTGTCAGAAGCTGGTAATACACTAGTGATAGCAATAAATATAATACAAAGCATAGTCTTGTCCAAATGGCCCTGAGGCTCCAGAAGACCCCAAAACTGAGGTCCTCTGTATTTACACACTCATAGAAATATTTGCAACACCTATAACCAAGACAGGACTCATATTTTAAATATATGAAGAACTCCTACAAAGCAGTAAGACAGAAAACCTAAGAGAAAACTGACCCTAAGAATGGATAAAAAACTTGAACAGATATCCAAGTGGAAATAATATATGAAAAGATGTTTAACGTCATTGGTTATAAGACAAATGTAATTTAAGCCACAATGAGATACCACTACACACCCACCATAATAGTTACAATTTTTTAATCTTTTTCACTTGGCAAAACAAAGTGTTGATGAGGATGTGGTTACAATTTTTTAATCTTTTTCACTTGGCAATACAAAGTGTTGATGAGGATGTGGAGCAATTGGAACTCTAAGATAGTACTGGCAGGAGTGTAAATTAACATAAGCACTTTGGGAAATTATTTGGTAGATTTACTAACACTTAAACATATGCCTAGTCTATCACCCAATAATTCTATTCCTAGGTATGTATCATAACAGAAATATAAGCATACATATAACAAAGGATACAAAGAAAATTGTTATAGCTGCACCTATATAATAAAAGCCTAATATGTAAATTGTCTCCTCAAGACAGTCCTTCCAGCAGGAGACCCACTGGGAAGCCGAGTTTGACAGTTTGCTATATCATGCACTGCCCACCAGGGGGCGGCTCTGGCAGTGGGTGGCAGTGGAGGTGCTGCTGGCCCTGATGGGCCCCAATGAGAGTGGGACCAGTGGGACTGTGTTGGGATGGTGGAGCAGGTAAGGGGGTGGCTCCAGGCCAAGATGGGGTGCTAGGTGGGGCTGTGGGGCTGAGAGGCTGGGAGTGCCAGCTTGGGCCTGATCTCCACAGGCCACCCCTAGGGACCCCACCCATGCACAAATTCATGCACCAGGTCTCTTGTTATTCTTCATATATTTAAAATTTGACTCCTGTGTTGGTTATAGGTGTTGCAAATATTTCTATGAGTGTGTAAATACAGAGAACCTCAGTTTTGGGGACATCCCAAATGCCCATCAATAGAATAACAGATGAATAAATTCACTTAATGACATAATATACAGCAATGAAAATGAATTAGCTAATGCTACCTCAATGTTGTGCATTAGTTTTACAAACATAATACCGAGTGAGAGAAGCCAGACACAAAATAATACCAACTGAAAGGTTTCATTTATATAAAGTTCAAAAGCACACAGAACTAATCTATGGTGTAGAGAGGGGTTGCCTTTGGGAAGGAGGGTGGGGTAGTGACTAGGAGGGGATATGAGGAGGGCTTCCGGGGTGCCAGTAAGATCTAATTCTTGATCTGGGAGGCAATTATATGTGTATGTTCACTGTGTCATAAGCTCTTGACCTGTACACTAAGGCTTTGTGCCCTTTCCCATGCCTGGTATACTTCAGTTAATTATTTTTAAAAAGAGCCCTAACGGGTTTGGTTCAGTGGACAGAGCATCAGCCCAAGGACTGATGAGTCTCAGGTTCAATTCTGGTCAAGGGCATGTAGGCAACCAATTGATGTGTCTCTCTCACATTGACGTTTCTCTCTCTCTCTCTCTCCCCCTCCCTTCCACTCTCTCTAAATATCAATGGTGAGGATTAACCAAAATAAATTTTATATTAAAAAAAATTTTTTTTAAAGAAAGAAAACACAGGAAACGGGGGGAGGGGAGGTGGGGAGGGAGAGATGGAAGGTGGGAAAGGAATATGAGGGAAATCACATAGAGGTGGCTGAGCTGTGGCACGATTACAAGCGGGCATGAGGACTGTGAAAGGGAGAAGGACAGGAATCGTCGCTAGCAGCTGAAGGAAAAATCTCCAGGTACATCAGCCTTCGCTCCCCACCAACCCTACAGCCCCTATTCAAAAACAGAGCCTTTTGGGGCAAAACCCAAGTGTTTCCTACTTCTGGCTCCAGGCAGAGAGTGCCAGTGTTTGAAGCCAAATGTGCGGCTCTCAGACCAGGTCCTGTGAAGACTGCAGGCCATGGGTGCAAATGTCCTAGCTGCCAACCTAGAACAATCCCCAGCCCTGGAGTGGGGGGTGGTGTGTGTTGTTATCCTTGTCCAAAGGAATTACCTGGTTGCTGTGTTAGCTCTCGCTCGCTCTCACTCCCTTTCTGAAAGGGGAAGCCAAACGCGTCATACCGGGCACTGGGTTCTCCTCCCCCAGGCGCACCTCTACTCCGAACCCCATCCAGAGGTCTGAGGTCACGCTCCGGTGGCCCCTGAGCCACTTTCCGGGAGGAAAAGGACAGGAAGGAACCACTGGTCACAGGTTCCACTGACCAGAGGGGAAAACCCGAGGGTGGCGGTTCCTTTTGCGGGGGTAGGGGGAAAGGCCACACCCCCTGCACAAAAACATCCCGGAGAACTCGTATGGACTCTGCGTGGGAGAGGTGGCGGTGCCCCGGGGAGGAAGTGGCCTCAGGCTGGATGGGAACGCCCCTCTTTGATCCCACGAGGTGCGTCAGGGAAAGTTGGATTTCGTTGAGCTCGGGATGGAGACATCTCTCCCAGCGCGGCCACCGGGACCGGAGGAAGCCGGGCTCCCCTCCGCCCCGGGCTCAGGTGGCGCGTGTGTGACCCCGGCCGAAAGCCCGACCTCTTTTCCCGCCCGCCCGCCCGCCCGCCCGTCCCCACCCCTTTCGAGGCCGGCTCTTTATTAAGGCCGGTTCCGTCCGGGCTGAGCCACCGGCTGAGAAGGCGGGATCTGGCGGAAGCTCGCGGTGCCCAGGCGGCCGGAGAGGAGCTGTGACTGAGGACAAGGTAGGGACGGTCCCCTCCGAGGACGGAGCGCGGCAGCTCCGCGGGCCTTTCCCCGGCTTCCCGGAGGCCGAAGCCGCAAGGAAGCGCTCGGGGAGTCGGAGCAATCGCTCGCCCTGCTGCGCCCGCCTTTCGGGATTGAGGGGGGCGAGGGAGGCCCCGGGAGCGGTGGGCCGGCCCGAGGGAGGTGGCACCGCGCGGCGATCGCCGGGCAGCGGGCACCCGGGCCCGTGGCCGAGGGGCGCAGGGACCCGCGCGAGCGCTGCGCGGCGGGGACCGCCCGCTCCGGGTTCCCGTCACCCGCGCCCGGGGTTCCCCGAGGCCCCGCCTCCCCGGGGCCCCGCCTCCCCAGAGGCCCCGCCTCCCAGTGGCCCCGCCTTCCCTCGCGCAGCGAAAGAAAAGGGCCGAGGGAGGCGGGGCCCGTCCCTCCTCCGCCCCTTATTGGCTGAGGCTGCTGTCCATCCAGAGTCTATTTTTGATGGAGTTGGGGGGGCCGCCCAGTCTGCCCCAGATCACGTTTGCCCCTAGCAGCCAACCAGTCAGGCCCGAGTCCGCGGGCCAAAAGCGATTGGGGGCGAGTGAGCTCGGCCCCACAGTCTCCCCCCCCCCCCCCGCCCGATACGGGTGTCCCCCGCCCGAGCCCGAGCCCGAGGAGGTATATCCTGCCCCGCCGGCCACCTCCCCTCGTGGAAGCGGAGCGGCGGCCTCGCTGGAGCGCGGAGGCGAGATGTAGCGAGCCGGGGGGTCGCGGCTGGACGCTCGCCTTGGCTGGGAGTGTGGGGGGGCAGGCACGCCGCCGGGGGCCGAGGAGGAGGACTGCCGAGGAGGAGGAGTGATGAGAAGAGGGGGCTCCCTGCACTCCCCGAGACCACGGGCCCTCGCTGCCACTCGCCAGGCGCCCTCCTTCCTCCTCAGCGAGGACCAGGTCAGTCCCCTCGCGGGGTGGGGGGCGGAGGGCGGGAGCCCTGGCTCGCAGCGCATTTGCTGAGTCCGAATCCGGGAGAGGAGAGGCGAGGGAGGACAGCCGTGTGCCTCTCCCCCCTCCTTGGGTTTGGGGATAGTCAAACGAGGCTTTTGTGTCCCCTTCTCCTCGGGGCATCCTGGTTCCGTTTTTGCTTCTTTCATCCCAGGGCCTCCTCGGGCCTGTCGGAAGTCTCTTGACTGGAAGGAGTGGAGTTCGGGGCTGGCTGGCTTCTCTTCCTGCCAGTCTCCTTTCAGGTTAGGTGGCCTGCGTGGAAGGCAGGACGAGGAAGGAGGGCCAAGTTTTGGCAGACTCGGAAAGTTTCCTGCCGCAGGAGCCGTGGCCTCCCGCCCGCTCAGAGGTTTCCTCTCCGGCCAGGGTCTTGGAAAGGACCAAAGACCAGGTTCAAGGAACCGAGTTGACAGAAAGAAAACAATCCCCATGGGCCAGTTACTGGACTTGACCCACCTTTTCCCAAGCCGGAGTTGACTAATGGTGTGGGTGGAATACCTAAGCACCCATTCTTCTCACCTCGGGAAATTCTCTTTAAAAATTATTATTATCTCTCTCTCAAAAATTATTTTTTTAATTTGTAAAAGCTATTCTGATGAAATTGAATAGGGTGGGATCAAGGCATGGGGACTCCTTTAGGCAAAAAAAAAAAAATGTGGGATCATTACAGCCCAAGAGACATGCACTTGGGAGCGAGTACATTTTGGTGTATGCTGCTTTTGTTTCTTGTTTTGCTTGGTTTTATTTCTTTTTTCCGTGGGTGCTTTTGTGTTTGTTTTTTAAGAACTCCGCTATGTCCAGTTCTCAGCAACCCTGGGGAACAGGGCGAACCTAGAGAAGTGAAATGTGTGCATAACAACCAGTCGTTTCACCCTCTTTCCCTTCCAACTGAGATAGCTCCCCGGTCCCTATCTGACCAGCTCACAGGGCCCAGAGCAGGGGGAGAGAAGCAGAGACAAGAGGCCTGGCTCCAAGCCCCCGTCTGAGCTTTTTGTAACACTGTTGACTCTCAAGGGCAGGAGTGGGGAGGCCTCTGGCTCTTGGCCTCGGGCTGGCAGGCTTGCCTCATTGCCCAGAGAGTCCTCCTATTTTTTATTTTTATTTTTATTTTTATTTTTTATTTATTTTTTTTTTAAACTCGGGCTCGGGCGCTTTGGAGTCTGGGGACCTTGCCTCAGTGATCAGATTCTCCCTGTGTAGTGGTCCTGGGTGGCTGTCTTGTGATCGTAAACAGTCATGTTCTACAGTGGGGGGGAGGGGGGTCTGTGTGGCAGGGAGCCTGTGCCTGAATGCATGAGTGTCTCCACTGGGAGACCACATCTAAATAACCCCGGGTTCTCCGTGAGCCTTCAAGAAGGGATGTCCCCCTGGTTACTGGGAAGGCAATGCAAGGTCTCCTGCATAGTGTCTTCCCCGTCCCGGCTGCTCGCCGCCGTGGGTGAGCCCTGGGGGGCCGTGGGTTGCTGACTGGGAGGATGGCAGGGAGAGCGCCTGCTGGGCCTCCAGATGTTGCCGTGCAGGGATGGGTAGTTCTCATGGAAAGGACAAACTCTTTGACTTGCGCCTGCTTTTGTGCCTCCCGGGATAAGCTGCCCTTTGCTGTATCATAACATTCTCCTCTTCTCGTCTTCCTCCTGCAGAAGGTATTCCGCACAGTTTCTCGTGACTTGAAGGACCGGGCATTCTGGGAGGTTCGAGGTCTTCCCAGGAAGGAAGGGGATCTCGGGAAGAAAGGGGAAGGACGACAGGCACTGCCCTGGGACCAGCAGAACCGGAGGAGCTGTGGGAAGCTTCGGGACACCAGCCAGAGGCGTGGGAAGAAGCCCCAGCCGCGGGCCCACGCTGCCTTCTGAAAAGAACTGGACTCAAACCACTTTTCATGCAAGAAGGGCCGCCTCGGAGGTTACCCCACATTCTGTCCGGCTCTTCCACTCTGGATGTCCCCGCTCGGAGGAACCTGCTGCTGAGAACCAAAGAAGATAAGAGGCCGGATTAGTCTCCCCCCAGCCCAGCGCGGGACATCAGGAGTCAGGCATCTGCACCCCTAGTGGCTGGCCGCGGGCGCTGGTGAGGAGTTTCTGGTTCCCTCCAGCTCGCGGCTGCAGTGCTTGATGGGGCTGCCTGTTGGTCCATCAGTTTTTGCAGCACCCGGCAGGAGCGGAGAGCCGCGGGAAGAGGGCCTGCGGCACCCGAGTCTGGGCTCACCCCAAGACTAAGTTCTTTCCTGCGTTAGAGAGGGAGAGAGAAAGCAACAGAGAAAAAGAGAAACGTTCCCCCTTCCTGCCTTCCCTTCCCGTCATGTCCTCTAAGTTGGAGCTGAAGGACGTCCACCAGCTGAACGGGACTGGCCCTGCCGCTGCTTCACCCTGCTCTTCCGATGGCCCCGGGCGAGAGCCCTTGGCCGGGACCTCCGAGTTCCTGGGGCAGGATGAGGCTGGGGTAGAGGTGGTGGTGATCGAGTCTCGGGCCAACGCCAAGGGGGTTCGGGAGGAGGACGCCCTGCTGGAGAACGGGAGCCAGAGCAATGAGAGCGACGACGTCAGCACAGACCGGGGCCCCGCACCACCCTCCCCGCTCAAGGAGACCTCCTTTTCCATCGGGCTGCAAGTGCTCTTCCCCTTCCTCCTGGCAGGCTTCGGGACCGTGGCCGCGGGCATGGTGCTGGACATCGTACAGGTAGGACCTGGGAGGGCCACCTTCCCTCCTGAGAAACTTGGCTCTTCCCCTCCACCTCCGATCGGAAGCAGCTGCTGCTTCCTAGAATACTGTTTCCCTTTGGACCGCAGCCTCAGTTTCTTCTTGGTCTGGTGGCCACAGGAGGAAGCCCAGTAGCCCCGGGGAAGGGGTCAGGGCGGTATTGCTTAACAGAAGCAGAATCGGTTCCAGAGCTCAGGCTTGGAAAAGGAGCAGTGGAATGGGGCTCTGGCCTGCCATTCCTCCTGGGCATTCCTGCTAAGCCCAGCTCAGCAGGAGACATTTCCATGGGTCTCCACTTTGACGCTTTCTTTTCCCTTCCCTTGAGGTTTCAAGGATACCCACAGGAGAAACCTCAGTTTCAAGTCTCCTTCCTTTCCATCCCCCTGCTGGGCAGGAATTTGTCTGGCTGCCAAGAGGGTCTCAAATTAAAAGGGAAGGTTCTTAAAGGCATTTTGTGTTGCTTATCTGCCCGTAACCTTGGCAGGATCTTGGGGCACGGGGTTGGGCACATGCTGTCTGTTGCATGGTTTGAGGGGGGTGGCATGATAAGACATAGAAGTGCTAATTCGATGACATAAATGGGGGTGAAATGTAACCGGTCTTTGCTCTGGCAAAACGGTCTTTGCTCCTTACCTGTCTTCATGAACCTGCCTTGGACAAAGGACGCTCTTTTTGAGGCTACTGGGTAGAATTATGGATAAGAATTGGTAGGTCCTGGACGAGCCAGCGATATGCTACATTAGTGTATTGTGGGTTAGGGCTTACCCAAAACCTCCAGGTCCAAGAGATAGGTAATGCCTTCTTTCTAGATAAAAGTTTCTGAAGGGCAATAAGGCACACAGAGCTTCCTGAAGATGCCACATTGAACCAAGTCAGTCACTAGCAAATATTGCTGCTGAGTACTGGGCTTTGTCCTACGTATTCAGAGAAATACCAAATACTGAGGCCGAAGGAGATCTGGCCTTTGCTTTTTTTTTTTTTTTTTTTTTAATATGTTTTTATTTATTTCAGAGAGGAAGGGAGAGGGAAAGAGAGAGAAACATCCATGATGAGAGAGAATCATCAATGGCTGCCTCCTGTATGCCCCTTACTTGGGATCAAACCCTTAACGTGGGCATGACTGAAATTGAACCCAGGACCCTTCAATCCACTGAGCATAACCAGCTAGGGTGCTCGTTAGGACCCATCGGTGTCCGTAACCGTGAAATCTCAGGATGATATGGAGCTCAGCATCCCTCTCCTGTGCCAATCCAACCCTACAGATCATGCCTGTGGTGATGCAGAGTCCTGCTGATGGGTCTCACCATGCTCTTGTCCCAGGAAACTGAGGGTGCTGGTTCTAGGTGGTTCCTTCTTTGGCTGGAGCCCTTCAGGAGAACCCTGCACCTTTGGTTGCTAATGAGGATGTTGTTTATGTCTGCCTCCTCTCACCCCTAACCTGTTACCTTGAGAATTGTTCCTCATCTGGGTGAGGAAGCCAGCTTGGAGCTGGGAAGGTCAGCTTTTGGATTTCCCCCAGTGGCTGCCCCTCCCCCCAGGGCAGTGAGAGTTGGGTAGCAGTTTTAGAGTTTTTGAGTTCTGATTTGGTATCTACAAAAGGGTATAAAACCAGGTTCCAGTGGTGAACTGGGAGAGGGTTGTCTTTATTTTCTAGATAGTATTTGCTGGGCTCCTCTGTAGCAGCCATAATCATCTCTGTTTTGTAGATAGGGATGTATGGCTTAGAGCCGTGGTCGTCAAACTGCGGCTCTCGAGCCACATGCGGCTCTTTGGCCCCTTGAGTGTGGCTCTTCCACAAAATACCACGGCCTGGGCGAGTCTGTTTTGAAGAAGTGGCGTTAGAAGAAGTTTAAGTTTAAAAAATGTGGCTCTCAAAAGAAATTTCAATCATTGTGCTGTTCATATTTGGCTCTGTTGACTAATAAGTTTGCTGATCACTGGCTTAGAGCAATTAGGTAACTTGTCCTTGGTCACTTGACTCAGAGCCTGGCCACTGACCTCTGTGGCCTTCACCATGGCCGTGATTTACCAGTTGATTTAGGAATCTGGGAGGAGTCTGCTCTTTTTGTCTTCCCCTGAAAAACAGGGTGGACTGAAATTTGGAACAACTGGAGTTGTATTAAAAAATGAGCAAGAACAAAAGTTGATCTGCAAGGTCAACTCCAGCCCTGCCTTCCCATCCCACATACTCAGAGAATTGTAAAGCTGGAAAAGGCATCTGACATCTTGCCCCACCCCAACCCAATCCCCCGCAAGCCTGAGACATTGAGAGACCAAGGTAGGGAACCTCTGGAGCCTGCCCAACACACCCACAGAGGGCCCAATTTGTCCTTGGCGTGGCACCTAAGCCCGCTGCAGAATTAGGTCCAGTTGGTATGGATGACAATGGCTGGATTGTCCTCGTCGCCTTCTCCCAGCCTCCCTACCACAGCTGGGCTGGAGCAGGCCTGCAGGGAGCCGAAGATAGCATGGGAGAGAGTGGGTGCAAAAAGAACAGGGCATGAGACCACGGGGAGGTTCTTAGCCCGTACCCAGGGGAGCAGGAGGGCCAGCTGACAGTCACAGATTCCGGAAGAGCAGGGTGGTGTCTAAGGATTCACACCTGCCTTTTCCTTTCACAAGCTAAGTTAGCCTGCAGTGGGGCCGAGTCCGGGGGTTCCTAAAGACCGGGGCCGTGTGGGGGAGGTGGCTGTACAGTGTCCCCAGTGTCTCAGAGTCCGTGTTGGTGCAGGTGTTCCCTGGTCCCAGAGCCCCCAACCTTTCCCCATTGCTGGGGAAGACCCAGTCTCTTCCTGGAAGGCCCATTTCTGTCTCCTCTTACATGCCCTCCTCTCTCCCCACTGCGTACAGCCAGCTCTGCTGTGCGATGGGTGCTGGCACCCTGGCCACAAGCAGGAAAAGGATAAAGGGACTGCGATTTGCTCCAACTTCCCACCGTGGCTGAATGTTCCTGCAGCATGTGGGAGGGAAACAGGACTGGGCCCAGGGTTGGAGCTGAAGTGGATTGGGACGTGGGAACCTCCCGGCTGCACAGGCCTCGGGCCCCACCCCCTCGTTTGGTCCTGGCTACTGGAGGGCACCTCACTCCCTTGTCTGGTTAGCCTTTTGAGGAATGGGGATGGCCGCAGGTGGTCGCACCTTCACTGTGTTAAGACAGGTGGGACTCCTAAGTCCTTATTGGAACATACTGCTCGCTCACTGAGGATCCCAAGGAAAGTAGACCCCCTCCCCCAAGCACCTCCTTCTCTGGCTTCTCTATCTGCTGTGTATGTGGGAGCATCTACAAAGATGAGAGTGGATCACAGGCATGGGCTTGGGCGAGTGGATTGGGAAAGAGGCATTCTCCTGTCTGGCCTGCTCCCATGGCGGTGGGCATCCCTGGGCATGACACTCGGTTCCATCTCACTTGGCCACACCTTTCTCACACTGTTATCTCTCTATCCTGGCCTTGTCTTGAGGCCCTTCTTGGAGGACACCTGCCGAGTTGTGTGTGTTGAGGGGAGGGTGGCTCAGACAAGTGAATACTGGGCTTACTCCAACCTGATCTGCAAGGTCAACACTCCAGCCCCACTTCCCACAGCACGTGCTTAGAGCTTATCTTAACATCCTGACCCTGTGCTTCCGGGCTGTGACTTTCCTCCCCATTGCCACCCTCTCGCGGGGAAGAGGTTCAGGACAGAACACCCGAAGGCAGGCAGGGGAGGTGAGGGGTGGAAGGACAAAGGAGAGGTGCTGGCAGGGCCACTGAGGTGACTGCTCTGAAGCAGGATTAGTTCTGAGGGTGGGGTAGGCAGTCTCATCCCTCAGCCCCAGAATATCAGGGACCAGTGAGCCCCACCTCCATAGGAAAGAACTGGAAAAGGAGCTGCATTTCTGAGAAGCTGTGAAATGTTTATGTTTAGACACACACCCCCCACAGTGGGGCCCAGCTTCCTGGAACGCACCCTTCTCCATCCCCAGCAGAGCAGGAAGGCGTGGGTGAAGGTTTGGCTGAAGGTTGGGCTGACAAGGCTGACGCGTTTGAGTTCGCGGGCAGGCTCTCCCAGCCAGGATGAACAGGACGGGCCAGAATTAGGCCCTGTCTGTCCTGTCACATACTACGGGCTCTGTCTGCTTCCAGGCTGCCCCACCTCACCATCTCTTCCCAGAGCTCTGTGTGCGCGCCCTGAGCTGCGTCTTTGAGGGTTTTGTGGGTAAAGAAAGCAGATGTGTAGGACTCGGCTGCTCTGACCCAAGGGCCATCTTGGCTGCACGGGGCTGGACTCAGGTTGCGTGAGGTTGCTGTATTCTATGCAGGTTTGGGCACTTGTGTAGGGGCTGTTATTTTTTTTTTAATATATATATTTTATTAATTTTTTTTACAGAGAGGAAGGGAGAGGGATAGAGAGTTAGAAACATCGATGGAGCCGGGACCGGTTTGGCTCAATGGATAGAGCGTCGGCTTGGGGACTCAAGGGTCCCGGATTCGATTCCGGTCAAGGGCATGTACCTTGGTTGCAGGCATATCCCCAGTAGGGGGTGTGCAAGAGGCAGCTGATCAATGACTCTCTCTCATCGATGTTTCTGGGTCTCTATCTCTCTTCCTTCCTCTCTGATATATTAAAAAAATTAAAAAATAAAAATAAAAAAAAAAGAAACATCGATGAGAGAGAAACATCAATCAACTGCCTCCTGCACATCCCCTACTGGGGATGTGCCCTCAACCAAAGTACATGCTCTTGACTGGAATCGAACCTGGGACCTTTCAGTCCGCAGGCCGATGCTCTAGCCACTGAGCCAAACCAGTTAGGGTCAGGGGCTGTTATTATGGCTGCTTTCCTCCTCGCCTGCCTGTCTCTTGTCTTAACACTGTTAAAACCCTACACCTTGGAAGTCCTTGTGTAATTTAAAGGAGAGAGGTAGGGAGAGAGGGGATGTTGGGGGATGCTTCTAGTGGCTGCCAGTGGGCTTAGCTGAGCTTCATATATTATTTTTCTTAAATTATTATAAAGACAAACAATATTCCTTAGAAACTATTACTTGCGTACGCTCGGAGCATTTCTTTCCCAACTCTTTCACTCAGCCAGTGCATATGCATTACATTCGCCTCTCGGAGAACAGAGCTGGGCGCTGGGAGGGGGTGAAGCTGTGCTCAGAGAGGCCTTTTGAAAGCCCACAGTAGGCCACCTCCTAAGGAGAGGGGAGCAGAAGGGAATTTTTCCCTCTGAGCTGTTGTCAGTTTAGATGAGGAAGGAGGAGGTGAGCAGAGCAAGGCCGGGCCTGCAGGAACCTGGAACCCCAGGTTATACACAGCTTCCAAAAGTGACAGCCCCCGAACTCCTCCCGGGCCCATGGGGCTCACTGCCCCTCTCTCAGGCCCTGGGGGTGAGAAGGGATTTGAACCCTTCCAGCATTTAGAGCAAGGGAGGGTGGGGGGGTTCTTCCTGTGGGTGCCTGGAAGCTCAGCAACTGTTCTTGGGGGCAAAGGGGTGTAGGGAAGACAGTTTCTGACAGGGCTTCTCTGAAGAGAGTCCTAGGCCCTCCATCTGTGAGGGGCCAGGCCGAGAGCCCAGGTAAGGATAGGCAAGCCCTAATGAGATGAGCCCTTCCCCATGGTACTGGCAAGGTCATCCCTCCCATGCCAACACACACACACACACAAACACACACACATTCAGCCAGCATGGCTCAGTGGTTGATGTCAATCTATGAACCAAGAGGTTGGAATTCGATTCCCCATTGGGGCACCTGTTTGGGTTGTGGACTTGATCCACACTATGTGACCTGCAGGAGGCAGCCAATAGATGATTGTCTCTCATCATTGATGTTTCTATCTCTCTCTCCCTTTCCCTTCCTGTGAAATCAATTAAAATATATGTTTTAGCCCTAGCCTATTTGGCTCAATGGATAGAGCATCGGCCTGCAGACTGAAGAGTCCCAGGTTCAATTTCGGTCATGGGCACATGGCAGGTTGCAGGCTCGATCCCCAGAGGGATCATTAATGTTTCTATCTCTCTCTCCCTCTCCATATATATGTTTTAAATCCCCCCCCCATCTCTCGTTTGTCTGTCTTGAGGAGAGGTCCTTGCCTTATAGGATCCCCAATGTCCAGCTTCATCTGGTCTCTAGTCTTGGCCTAGCCCTCTCTGATATCATTGATCATTTTTTTTTGTTAATTGTGGCAAAAAACACATAGCATAAAGTTCATCATTTAACCACTTCTGAATGCACAGGACAGTGGTATTAAGTACATTCACGTTGTTATGCTACCATCACCCCATCCATCTCCAGAGCATTTTCATCTTGCAAAACTAAAACTCTGCGCCCATTAAACACCAGCTCCCCTTCTCTCCCTGCTCCCACCCACTGTACCACCATCCTACTTTCCATTTCTATGAATTTGACTTCTTTAGATACGTACAGAAGGGTTTGTCTTTTTGTGTCTGGTTTATTTTACTTAGTACAATGTCCTTAAGGTTCATCAGTGTTGTAACATGTGACATGATACACTTCCTTTTTAAGAACAGACAATATTCCACTGTGTGTATGGACTGGACCACATTTTATTTATCTACGTACTCATCTACCAATGAGTTGTTTCCACTTTTTGGCTATTGTGACTAATACTGCTGTGAGCATGTGTGTACAGAGGTCTGTTTGAGACCCTGCTTTCAACTCTTTGGGATATATACCCAGTAGTGAGATTGCTGGGTCATGTGATAGATTCTATTCTAATTGTTATGAGGAATCGCCATACTCTATTCCATAGTGATTGTGCCATTTTACATTTCTACTAACAGTCATAAGGGTTCTAATTTCTCCACCTCCTTGATAACATTTGTTCTTTTCTGAGGTTTTGGTGTTTTGTTTGTTTAATATATTTTTATTGATTTCAGAGAGTAAGGGAGGAAGAGGGAAAGAGACATAGAAACATGAATGATGAGAGACAATCATCGATCGGCTGCCTCCTGTAAGCCCCCCACTGGGGATCGAGCCCACAACCCGGACATGCACCCTTGACTGGAATCTAACCTGGGGCCTTTCAGTTCTCAGGCCGACATTCTATCCACTGAGCCAACTGAATAGGGCTGGGGTGTTTTTCTTTTAATAGTAGCCATCCTAATTGTTGTAGGTCTGATTTGTGATCTTACTCATCCTTAACTATAGAGTGTTGGTGCTAGAATTGCCTTTAAAGACCCTTTGATCTGGCCCCCGAATTGTACATTTTATAGTCAGTAGCTTGAGGTCCTTCTAACTTGCCTAAGGTCCTCCCCCACTCCTCCCCTCCACACACACACACACACACACACACACACACATACCCGCACTGGTCAATGTGGGGAGGATGTTGGAGAGACAGCATGAGGCCCCCCCGGGGTGTCTCGTCAGAGACCTCAGGCTGTCGGTCCAGGACATTACAGCACTTTGCCTCAACCTCTGTACTTCTGCCTGGTCACCTGCCCCCCTCTCCCTCCCCAAAGTTGAAGTCTTTCCATTCTCAAAACAAATAAAGGAACTCACGTCGCTGCCAAGGCCAGGGAGGGAGCCGCAATCCCAGCCCTTTTCACAAGTCTTCGGTTTCAGTTGCCGCTAAAGTAGCTTTCAGATAGCCAATCTTGGCTCCTACTTTTTCCTCTCAGCACTCATGGGTGTAGTGCTCTCTGAACCTGTTTCCTCATTTACCAGATGGGGTTAAAAATAGCCCCTGCCTCACTGGGTTGTTGATAGGGTGAAATGGAAAATGCATGTAGGGCACTTGGCCTAGCGTAGTCTGCGTGATAGATGTTCGCTTGGAGGAACTGGGGGCGAGCCAGGCCTCACCGTGTCTCCTGACTCCCAGCTCAGTCTCCCCCTGCAGGGGTGCACTTGTGTCTCCTCACTGAGTGATTGGGGAAAGTATGTAGGGTGATAGAGTGCAGAGGCAAAACAAAAAGCCTCTTGGAGACCAGCATGTTGAGGATTGGGGGCCGAGGTCCTCATTCAGACCCGGTCCAGAAGGAGAATCGCGATGGCTGAGGCCCAAAGCCCTTAGAGATAGAAACCAAACAAACCCTAATCTCCTCAGCCCCGTGGAGCCCAGCTCTCAACAGCTGAGACAACACTACCCAAGGCTGAGGCCACAGAGAAAACGGACTAAAGGCAGAGGGGTTGGGGACTGCGATTTGAGGGGGGATCTCAATGGAACTTGGGGGTGTAAGCCACCTGGAGTGACTCAGCTGTGTGACTCAGCTCTTCCCCCGACCCCGAACAGAAGGCAGAGGAAGTAGAGCCATGCTAGGGTCTACTGACCAGAGAAGCCTCTACATCTACATCCCCCCCCCCCCCCCCCCCCCCCCCCGTCCTGGGAGGTGGGGGAGGAGGGGGAGTTGGGGGAGACTGTGTTGTTCGGAGCACCATGGGCTTGGTTTGGTGCCAGGGCTCTTGGAGGAAAAGTGGCTGATGTGCTCGCTCCCTGCTGATTCTACTTCCTCCTCAAGCCTCTGATTCCAGGCTCTCTGTTCGGCCTCGCAGCCAGTCCCTTGAGGCCCTGAAATTCCTGAGATCTGTTTTCACCTTGTAGCACTGGGAAGTCTTCCAGAAGGTGACGGAGGTCTTCATCCTGGTGCCCGCACTGCTGGGGCTGAAGGGGAACCTGGAAATGACCCTGGCATCGAGGCTGTCCACCGCAGTGAGTGTCCTGGCCGGGAGGGCTAGGGTGTGCAGGACTCCGGGCAGCACAGAGCCAGGATGGGAGCTCGCTACCGGCCTCCTCAACGGAGTGTGGGGCTGGGGTGGGCAGGTGTCGGGAGATCCCGGGCTGGGTGTCCTGCTCCTGGCAGGGGCTCCCTGCTCGAGTGGTTCCCAGGCTTGGTTTCTGGATGTCTCAGCCATCCCTGGACTCTTGCCCCACCCCCTGTTTTGCAACCCACCTCGTGACTGTTTGTGCAGCTTTGACAGGCAGGCATCATGCTGGTCCCTCCACCTGCACAGATGGGGGCCGCCTCTGATCTCCAGCCCTGCTCTGCAGCTGGGCCGGAGCGGAGCCAGGCCTGCCCCGCCTCTCCCGTCCCATTCCCTTTCCCCCTGGCTCTGGAGGAATAGACAGGGAGGGGAGCCCATCACTCCCACCTCCCACAGCCCCTTCGATCAGCCGTGACGGTTCAAAGGCTGAACCAGATACAGGGCCCTGGGGTAGGAGGTGGAGGCAATCAGACTCAGGAGGCAGGGCGACCAGGAGGCAGAGAGGTCCCCCATGGCCACAAGCCTGGAGAAGGCAGCAGAGAGAAGTGGTAGCCAGCCTCGTCTGCCCCAACTGGCCCTGCTCCTGGCCTCCTGTGCCTCCTCACTCCTTCCCAAACACACTAGCGGCCACAGTCCTGCACCAGCAGCTAATCTTTCCTTCGTTAGGACAGAGGTTCCATCAGGCCATTCTAATCTGTGCAGGAATGGGCTGTCCGGGAGAGCAGGGCAGAGGGTGGAATCTGGGGTGGGCAGATGTAGGGAGCAGCTCTCCTGAGAGGAGGAGACTGCCTTAGGAGCCCCCTTCCTGCCACCACTCAGCCACGGGAGCTCAAGAAGCTCCTTCCCTCTCCCTCCAGCCCCCCATTCCTGCTTCACGCTCCACGGGGTCATGTTCTAGCCCCAGAGTCTTAGGGCACATGCACTGCTTCCTGAGCCAGTTGGAGGCTAACGGTCGGAGCTGCAGGCCTTTTCCAGCCTGGAGTCCCAGCCCCCTGTCCTCCCTCTCCCAGGCCAACATCGGGCACATGGACACACCCAAGGAGCTCTGGCGGATGATCACTGGGAACATGGCTCTCATTCAGGTAAGACAGCAGGAACTGGAGGGACCGGGCTGAGCGTCCTCCTTGGTCAGGATGAAAAGTTTGGGCAGCCCCAGCTGGGTCCCGAGTGAAGTTCCGATGTCCTGCCGAGCTGGCTTCTCCGAAAGCAGCTTTAGGAGGCAACCAGGTTTCCCAGGAAACTCAGTATCTCAGGGTCCGTTCTCGGCTCCCAGTGCTGCTGGGGCTCGTGTCCCCTCAGATGAGACACTGGAGTGCTGAAATGTCCTTGACCGCCCTTGTCTCACGCCCCCTTGAGGCCCAAGGCTTGTCTCTGGGCTGAAGTCCTAGGCGCCATTGAACCTCACCCCAGTCCCCAGAGAAACACTCATTCCACCAGTAACATGTCCCGGGCTCCTGCGGGGTGCCCTGCACAGTACTAGTGTCCAGTGTGAAGCTAAATAAACAAAGACATCATTCCCGCGTGGGAGGACTGGATAGTCCTGCCCCACCCACCTCCTGGGCTGCAGAGGGCCATGACAAGGACTCAGCTAAGAAGCTTTCTGCTCCCAGGGCTCTCCAGTTACCACCACCCCTCCCCCCCTCAGGTGCAGGCCACAGTGGTGGGCTTCCTGGCGTCCATTGCAGCTGTCGTCTTTGGCTGGATCCCTGACGGCCATTTCAGTATCCCGCATGCCTTTCTGCTGTGTGCCAGCAGTGTGGCCACGGCCTTCATCGCCTCCCTGGTACTAGGTAAGGAGGGAAGGGGAGGGGGGGAGGAGGGTGCGAGGGGAAGGGACCAGGGAGAGCTGTCCAGGGCTGTCAACGCTCTGGCACCTCCAGTCTCTCCTTTTTGTTGCTCCCCCCTTTACCTCTTCTGACCTCTCCTTCCTCCCAGGTATGATCATGATTGGGGTCATCATTGGCTCTCGAAAGATTGGAATCAACCCAGACAACGTGGCCACTCCCATTGCTGCCAGTCTGGGCGACCTCATTACCTTGGCACTGCTTTCAGGCATCAGCTGGGGACTCTACCTGGAGCTGGGTGAGGCTGTGGCTTCCGAGGGTGTGAGCTGGGAGGCCTCCTGGATGGGGTTGGGAGAGATGGTTAGCATATATGCAGATGTGTAAGCATTTCTTCTGTGTTCTTTATTTGACTGGAATACAGCTGTAATAACTCCCATCTTAGAGAATTGAAGTTAAGTGCTTATCTCAGATTCATGCAGGCAGCAGGGGCAGGATAGGAAGTACCAGGGAAATAAGCATAGTCCTGCTGGATCACTGCTTCCCTTGGAGGGGTGAGGTGTACATGGAAAAGGAAGGGAACTGAAGCTGGAATCTGCTTGCAAAATGGAGAAGAGGGGCAGGGGGAGAGATAGTTATTTCTGGGAATCAAAGCAAGAAACCTAGAATCTGGTCTTGGCCCCTTATGAGTCCAGGGCTGGGGAAGCTTTCAACCTTGGTTTTCTCATCTACAAAAGGGAAAAGGCTGGCCCCACACTGTGGCCCCATCTCCTGGACTCACAGTGAGAATCAAACGAGGTGATATGTTTCCAGGCTTTTAGCGTGGGGTCGCTGTTGATGTGTTGGGATATTGGCCGGTTCAGCCAGGGGGAGGCTGGGAAGAGGGAGCCATGGTGCTCACCTCTGTCTGATCTCTGCTTCTCAGAAAACTGGAAATACATCTACCCCCTGGTGTGTGCCTTCTTCGTGGCCCTGCTGCCTGTCTGGGTGGTGCTGGCCCGGCGGAGCCCAGCCACAAGGGAGGTGCTGTACTCGGGCTGGGAGCCTGTCATCATCGCCATGGCCATCAGCAGGTAGGCTCGGGCCGTGGGTGCGTGCCCCCGCCCGCTCCCCCTGCCACAGGCTCCCCGAAGAGAGGGAGCATGGCACAGACCCTGGAAATGCCTTCAGTAGGGTGTCCGTCACATGTCCTTCTATTACAAATGACAGAAACCATCTGAAGAGGATTTCATTGAAAATCAGAACACATTAGCTCAGGGAACTAAAAAGGCACAGCTGGATTCAGGAGCAGAAATTATACCATCAGGGCCCCAGTATTCGCCATCTCTTGGCTCTGTGTTCCCCTGTGCTGGCCTGCAGTTCCGGATTTATACTTTCCTACTTGTACTAATTCTGTGGTAGGAGAGATTCTTTCTCTCAACAGTTTCACAAAGTCCCCTTATAAAGTTTCACTGGGAAAAAAATAATAATAAATAAAATTTCATTGGCTCTCCTTCAGTCACATGATTATTCCTGAACCAATCGCTGTGGCCTTGGGGATGTGATGCTTTGATTGGATGAGTTTGGAGCCTAGGCATCTTTGGAGTAATGCCATGGGAACCACAGCGATGGAGTTTGAGAGAGACCATCCCTGAGGAAAGGGCAACAAATACTGAACAGGCAGAACAGCAGAGGTTGTCCTATGGATGGCACCTCTAGCCAGCTTGGGAGGTGGGTGCCATCAGCTCGCTCAGGGGGCACTGTGACAGTCCAGTGTGAGGAGCAGCAGCTGGTTCTGGCAAGAGAAGCAAGGACTGGGAGACCAGGGACTCCTGAGAGCCACATTGCTTCGCTTCCTGACCACAGCCAGATGGGCCTGCTCCTCTCAGACCAGGGACCGGAACAGAACCCTTTAGTGGCCTTTGTGTCATTTTGTCTTTGTATCTTTGTAGTGTGGGAGGCCTCATCTTGGACAAGACTGTCTCGGACCCCAACTTTGCAGGGATGGCTGTCTTCACACCGGTGATTAACGGTGAGGTTTGGCCTCAGCTGCCGGGGCAAAGGGGAGGGCAGAAGAGGGTTTGGAGGCTTTGCCTCAGTCAGGGTTGTAGCAGGCAAGAGAATCCAGCTCAGCTAGTTCAAGACCTGAATGAAGGGGTGTCTCCTAGAAGTGAGAGCCGGTAGGACCAACAAGAGATGTGGAGACATCCAGAGATGAGCAGCAACAGGAAGCCCTGGTTCTCAAGGGGCGAGGGGAGAAAATAGTGACAGAAGCCCAGAGAGCCCTCCTCTGCCCCCAGCAGGGATCAGCCACAGCCATTAAGCAGAGAGGGAGCAGGAAAGAAATACCTGGCCTCAGTCTCTCCTCCCCCCCCCTTTCTGATCACCTACTCGTGCCTCCTGTTGAACAAATCTAAATAGAAGCACCATCCCGAAAGGCTGGGCGATTCAGTCCGTAGAGTCAGCCTCGCAGGGCTCAGAGCAAGGCCGAGGGGAGCAGGGAAAAGGTTGGGATGGGATGCCAAGGAGAGTAAGCACAGTTCCTGGATACCAGATTCCAGAGCGCAGAGCTCACTGACACTCGACATTGGTTACCAGAATCATTGGGTGCCTGGGTCTGCTTGGCGCTTTGCAGAGGGCCCCAGGCAAGCAGGGCCTCGTCCCCTGGGCCGTGTGCAACAGCAGGTGCGCACACTGCGCTGCTGGAGAAGTCAGGCTCCCCGAGTCCACAGATCTGCCTGTGTCCCTTCCCGCACGTGCATGACTCTCCCACACCTCCAGAGTGGGGAGTATAGGAGGACTGGAAGACTCAGGAGTGGGGGTAGCGGGCTGTCTTTGTCTTTCTTCGCCGTGTCTCCCTCTCCTCCTGGGGACTCGTCCCTCCCCCCATGTCTAAGGTCTTCTGTCTCCGCAGGTGTGGGGGGCAATCTGGTGGCCGTGCAGGCCAGCCGCATCTCCACCTTCCTCCACATGAACGGAATGCCCGGGGAGAACTCCGAGCAGGCCCCTCGCCGCTGCCCCAGTCCCTGCACCACCTTCTTCAGTCCTGGTAACGGCAGAGCCCCCGCCTCCTGGGCCCACCCCAACCCCGGAGGGAAGGGTCAGCAGTCAGTGAGCTTCACTGAGGAACCCGCTGGGCCCAGATACCAGCTGTCAGAGAGGGCACAGCCCAGGCAGGAAGGCTCTCCTTTCCTGAGAACCCCTGGGGGTGGGGACCAGGGATGGAGAGGTAGAGGCAGTCAGCTGTCTGCTGCCCTGGAGTGTAGCGTGGTACCTCCTGATTTTGAAAGACCTTCGGGGCCAGGTGTCCTCCTCACCCCTCCTCTTCCTCTGTCCCAGATGTGAATTCTCGCTCAGCCCGGGTCCTCTTCCTTCTCGTGGTTCCGGGACACCTGGTCTTCCTCTACACCATCAGCTGTATGCAGGGAGGGCATACCACCCTCACACTCATCTTCATCGTCTTCTACATGACAGCCGCACTGCTCCAGGTACCGACTGGCAGGGGCCCGGGGGCCGGGCTGCCCTGCAGGGGGCGAGGGTTGGCCCATCAGACACTCAGTTTCTCTGGGACTGGACAGCGGATAGACACTGGACAGGGGCTTAGACACACAACACGCTGGGTCACAAACACGCTGGGTGACTTTGGCCCAGTGGCAGAATGATCTCTGAACCCAGTGACTAATGTGTTTGTAAATTGAGAGGAATGAGCCAGAAGTGGCGGTTTTCAGCAGGTGGTTGTAGGGCTCTGAGCAGGTGCGCTCTGGCCACAGAGCCCCGAGTGGCTCTGCTTTGCATGCTGGGCTTTCTCAGGAGATTTCATATGAATAAAGGGTTTCCTGGCTTGAAACCACTGTGCTAGATCCTCTGCAGGATCCTGTCTAGCCTGGCCATTCTCTGACATTCTCCCGTGTTTTATTACATTTTTCAACATTTTATTTAGAAATAATTATATATTCACAGGAAAGTGGGGGGTGGGGGGGAATGTACAGAGAAATCCCGTGTACTACCCACTAATCTGTCCCAGTGGGTCCCTCTTACATAAGTATAGTACGATGTCAAAAGCAGGAAATCAAAGCTGATGCAATCCACAGGACTTATTCAGGTTGCACTTGTTTTACATGCACTCGTGAGTGTGTGTGTGTGTGTGTGTGTGTGTGTGTAATTTTGTTCAGTGTTATCACATGTGTAGCTTCATGTAACCACCACCAAGTCAAGACACAGAAGTGGTCCCTCAGCACAGGGCTTCCTCATGCTACCTCTTGGTAGCCACACCCACCCTAATTATTACATTTTAAACTTGTAGAGATTTTTTTTTTTTAAATAGGTAATAACAGTCACATTACAGTTCAAACATTTTAAAGGTTCATAGTGAAACCTCAGTGAAAGGTCTTCTCTGATGCCCACCCCTACCCCCAACCATCCAGTTCTCTTCCTCTCAGGCCATCCGTGTATCCATTTCTTTCTTTCTTTTTCTTTTTTTTTCAATATATTTTATTGATTTTTTTACAGAGAGGGTTAGAGAGTTAGAAACATTGATGAGAGAGAAATATCGATCAGCTGCCTCCTGCACACCTTCCGTTGGCCAGTCTGCAGGCCAATGCTCTATCCATTGAGCCAAACTGGTTAGGGCTATATACATCTCTTTTTTTCTTTTTCTTTTTTTAATATATTTTATTGATTTTTCAAAGAGAGGAAGAGAGAGGGATAAAGAGTTAGAAACATTGATCAGCTTCCTCTTGCCTACCCCCTATTGGGGACGTACCCACAACCAAGGTACATGCCCTTGACTGGAATCGAACCTGGGACCTTTCAGTCCACAGGCTGACACTCTATCCACTGAGCCAAACCGGTTTCGGCTGTATCCATTTCTTATATGCCCTCCGAGCTGTTTCAAATCTATTTTTCTTACTTTCCTCTTTCTTTTACACACGGGTAGCCCTGCTTTTTTTCACATAACTATGCGTCTATCACAGAGATCATTCCACATCAACATGTAGAGAGAAGAGCACCCTGATATTTTACAGCTGCATTCTGTTCTGTTCTGGAGATGCACCCTAATTTCATTTAACCAATCCCTACTGGCCATCCCTTATCCCTGCGCCCCTGACCCCCACCTTGAGAAAGGCTGTGTATGTGTTGAGACATCTTGGCAAGGGCCGGTCAGAGAATCCACCAAATGCAGTTTCCCCGAAGCAGTCACCCAGGTCACCACACTCCCTTGGGCGTGTCTGAGGCTGCGAGTTAGCCCTTGGCCTGCATAAGCCTCAGCTCATTAGCCCTCTCTGCCCTCTTCTTCCTGATCCTTTGCTGCCTCCTCAGCCATGTGTCCGGGAGCCTGTTTGGGGCTGGAATGTAGGGACAGCTGCTGCCATTCCCTTCCCGGGCACATCCTGAAGTCCTCCTGCTGAGCTCTTTATCTGGGGCTCTGCTGAAAAGGGTGTGAAGTTATTGGAGGGGAGGGGCTGGCCCTCACCCAGGGTCAGGGCCAGGGCCACAGGAGTACAAGGCAGCTGTGGAGGGGAGGGAGGCTGTGAAGGGTGCTGGAACTGTAAGCACCTGCCCCCTGGAGAGAAAACAGGAGAACAATCAAATTTGCCTAAAAATAGGTATCAACTCTAGTTTTTTTTCTTTTTTTTTATTAAAATATATTTTGTTGATTTTTTACAGAGAGGAGGAGAGAGGGATAGAGAGCTAGAAATGTCGATGAGAGAGAAACATCGACCAGCTGCTTCTTGCACAACCCCTACTGGGGATGTGCCCGCAAGCAATGTACATGCCCTTGACTGGAATCGAACCTGAGACCTTTCAGTCCGCAGGCTGACGCTCTACCACTGAGCCACACCGGTTTCGGCAACTCTAGTTTCTTTACCCTGCAAGAGTCTCTGCTTCCCGCATCTGAGCCTCTTGGGGCAGGATTTACATACCACAGCATTTGCAAAGTATAGCCAAGAGTAAAACCTCCTAAATGACTGTGCTGGAGCCTTCCCGTTAGAACCCATGTCATTCTCACCCGGGTGCAGTGATTTGGGGACCCCACATGTCAGGGAGGGTGCAGAGCACAGAGATGTGGGCCTGCCCATGGCATATAAATGCATTTTCAGCTTAAACGTGCGTGTGAATCTGGTTAAAATGCAGATTCTGATTTAGGAGATGGGGGGAGGGGGCTGAGACTGCTTTCTAGCAAGCTCCCAGCTGCTGTTGATGCTGCTGGTCCTGGGCCACTAGCAGGGCAGGGTTCTAATCCAGATCCTTCTCCATTGTCTGTAGTAATGGCGGGAAAGCCAGGGCCCAGAGAAATCGCAGCAGCAGATAATCCAAAGTGTCTTTTGAATTGCTATGCACTCTCTGCTTTCTACTTGTTCGTGATTCTGCTCTGCTAAAAGTAACATTAAATCACATTCACATGCTTTGCGCCCACCGCAGCAGAGCGGGAGGGGTCAGGAAGAAGCCAGCCCAGGGTAATCAGCTGGGACTCAGATGGCTGTGCGGACAGCAGTCTCAAACACTGTTCTTATTCCACTCGGCTCCTCCGGGGAGAAGTCCCTCTGTAAAAAGCCAACTTCTGCCCCTGCCCCTTGCCCAGCTCCTCCTGGAGACGCCAGCATGGCGGGAGTTAGAGTGACCCGAGGATAGGATGACCTAGAATTAGAAGCAAGAGTTCCTGTGGCAGGACAATGTCGAGGAGAGAATCCAAGATGGCGGCATAGGTAACACCTAACTGCAGCCTCACACAACAATTTCAATAAAATACAACTAAAATATAAAATGGACATTACCCAGAACTACAGGAAAGTCGACTGACTGGAAATTCTACAACGAGAAGGAAAGAGAAAACCAGAAGGAAAATCGGAGGAGCTGTAGAAGCCTAAAGTATGGAGACATGTTGTGCTCACAGAGAGGACGGAGCCGGAGAGGAGGGGGAGGCTGAGTGCCTGGCTGGCGTTCCCTAGCGGGAAGGAGATAAAAGCTCCGGACTGTGCTGAACCCCAGATCCAACAGCACTGAACCCCAGTTCTAGGCCAGACCCTGGGGACCCAGGCTCATACAGAGGAAGCCTGGGCTGTTAGGCAGAATCTCAGGGGAGCGGCTAAAGGCAGAGCCCCCAGAGGTGTGCACATTACACACAAAGGACTGACTGTTGACTCTGCTGTTAGATTGCCCTAGTGGGAAGGAGACAAAAGCTCTGGACTGTGCTGAGTCCCAGTTCCAACTGCACTGAACCCCAGTTCTAGGCCAGACCCTGGGGACCCAAGCTCATACAGAGGGAGCTTGGGCTGTAAGGCGGAACCCCGGGGGAGCGGCGAAAGGAGGTCCCGGAGGCGCGCACATTGTGCACAGAGAACGGACAGTTGACTGTGCCACTGGATTGCCCTAGCGGGAAGGAGACAAAAGCTCCAGACTGCTCTGAACCCCACTTCCAACTGAATGGAACCCAAGTTCCAGGCTCATTGTGGGAGAGCCTAAACTGTTTGGTAGCAGGAGAAACTCGAGGGCATCTTTCTCTCAGAGGTGCTTGCAATGAGTACTGAAGGACCCAGAGGAATACTGAGACTCAGGAGCCTCTTAGGGTGTGGCTGATGGAAGCCAAGGCTGTAGGCTCCACCCTGAAACTCCGCCCCATCCAAGCTGAACACAGACTTTTAAGGCTACCAACTCAGGGAGGCTGCAAAAATGCCGAGACAAGGAAACAGATCACAAACGATAGAAACGGAGGACAAAAAGCGACTGGATGTAGAGTTCAAAACCACACTTATAAGGTTTTTCAAGAATTTCCTAGAAAAGGTCGATAAGACCTATGAGGATCTGAAAAGGGATCAACTAGAAATAATAAGGGATCAACAAGAAATAATATGGGATCAACAAGAAATAATAAGGGATCAACAAGAAATAAAGAATACATTGTCTGAAATAAAAATATTACACAGAGTCCTAAAAACAGAATGGAAGATCACAAGAATCAAGTCAAAGATTTGGAACATAAAGAGCCAGAAAATGCTTCTCCCCAAAAGCAAGAAGACAAGAGATTACCAGACTAAACAAGAAAGAAAAGAAAAGAAAAGACTTGATATATGGTAAATGTTCAGATTCTGTCAGCTCTTGTTATTATCTATTATTTCCCAAGCCCATGAGAGGCCCAGAACCTCTCCTGTTAGGTTATCAAGATTAAAAGACTATTCTGTTTTTCACACGTTAAAAATAAATAAATAAATAAATAAATAAATAAATAACGAGAATCCAGAAAGTTGAAGATAATGTAAGAAACCTCTGGGACAACTTCAAGAGAAACCAACATCAGAATTATGGGGGTCCCAGAAGAAGAGAGAGAGCAAGATACCGAAAACATACTGAATAAAATAGTGACAGAAAACTTCCCCACCTGGTGAAAGAATTAGACCTACAAGTCCAGGAAGCACACAGAACCCCAAACAAAAGGAATCCAAAGAGGACCACATCAAGACACATCATAATTAAAATTCCAAGAGCAAACAACCACTGAGCCACGCTGGCCAGGCACTGTGTACATTTAAAAAAATCATTTAAAATATTTTAGATTTGTTTTCTCTGAGGATTTAAGAAAGTATTTTCATAAAACTCTATGAGTTCTGGAAACAAGTTTAAATCTTATTTTTTTGGTATTTAATATTTCAAAAGATAAAAGGGGATCTTAACTTTTCCCTTTTTATTAGGAATGTGAAATTCTTTATATGTAATAATAAAAATACGCTGTATTCTCAAACAATAAAAAAAAAAAAAAAATTCCAAGAGCAAAAGACAAAGAGCAGCAAGAGATGAAACCGGTTTGGCTCAGTGGATAGAGCGTCGGCCTGCGGACTGAAGGGTCCCGGGTTCAATTCTGGTCAAGGGCATGTACCTGGGTTGCAGGCACATCCCCGGTAGGAGGTGTGCAGGAGGCAGCTGATCGATGACTCTCTCTCATCAATGTTTCTAACTCTCTATCTCTCTCCCTTCCTCTCTGTAAAAAATCAATAAAATATTTAAAATATTTATAAATAATAATAATAAAAGCAGCAAGAGAGAAACAGGTGGTTACCTATAAAGGAGCACCCATACGATTGTCAGCTGATTTCTCAACAGAAACCATGCAGGCCAGACAGGAATGGCAAGAAATATTCAAGGTGATGAATAGCAAGAATTTACAGCCAAAAATAATCTACCCAGCCAAAACCGGTTTGGCTCAGTGGTAGAGCGTCGGTCTGCAGACTGAAAGGTCCCAGGTTCGATTCCGGTCGAGGGCATGTACATTGGTTGCAGGCATATCCCCAGTAGGGGTGTGCAAGAGGCAGCTGGTCGATGTTTCTCTCTCATCGATGTTTCTAGCTCTCTATCTCTCTCCCTTCCTCTCTGTAAAACATCAATAAAATATTTTAAAAAATAATAATAATCTACCCAGCAAAGCTATCACTCAGAATCGAAGGCCAGATAAAGAGCTTCACTAATAAAAAAAATAAAAAATAAAAAAGCTAAAGGAGTTCATCACCGCCAAACCAGAATTATATGAATTGCTGAAGGGGGTTCTTTTGGAAGAGAAAGAAAATAAAGATAAAAATTATGAACAACAAATACATAACTATCAACAAGTGAATCTAAAAACCAAGGGAATTAAAAAACCTGATGAACAATATTAACTGTTGAATATAATAGAATCAGAGGTATGGAAGGGGAGTGGACTGACGATTCTCAGGGAAAAGAGGAGTGGGGGGTGCGGGAAGAGACTGAACATAAACTGTGCACCTATGGATGAGGACAATGGGGGATGGGGAAAGGACAGAGGGTGGGGTGGGAACCAGGTGGAGGGGGGAAAAAATGGGGAACCTTTGTAATATGAACAATAAAGGTTTATTTAAAAAAAAAAAAAAAAGTTCCTGTGGCAGGTGGGATTTCAGTCAGGGAGCAGAATGGAATGTCAATGTGGGTGACCCGCAGAACAAAGCATCTTTCTTTCTAAAGGGTCACATTGTGCCTGTCATCTGTTCAAGGGGGTAACTGTGGGGCAGGGAACAGAGAGGTCACCGTGTGGAGAGATGAACTGTCCCAGCATCAGGACTGTGGAGAGCCAAGCCTTGTGATGCAATGCATGGGTCCGATCCAGTGGCCTCGGGCTCCTCCTGGAGAGAGAGGGGGGCCCTAGACCGAACTCTTCTGTCTCCCCAGGTGCTGATTCTCCTGTACATCGCTGACTGGATGGTGCACTGGATGTGGGGCCGGGGCCTGGACCCTGACAACTTCTCCATCCCGTACTTGACAGCTCTGGGGGACCTGCTTGGCACCGGGCTCCTCGCACTCAGCTTCCATGTCCTCTGGCTCATTGGGGACCGAGACACGGACGTCGGGGACTAGCCTGGTCACTCAACCTTCTCCCCGCCCTCTGCACTTTCTTCGTGTCCCCCTCCCCGCACCCCACTCCACACTCCCACCTCTTTCTAGGACTTCACTTTGATACCGAATTCTCATTATTTTCAATGGGAATTTTTATACATTGAGCCAAGTTTGTACAGCAAAAATTTTCAGGCAGGACAGAGGGACTGAGGCAAGCAGTACCAATAGATTTCTGAGACCATCACCAAGTGCAATTTCATGGTGGGTGCCTCCAGGTGAGCTGGATAGGGGCAGGGTTCTCGCCTGGGATCTGGGAGCATGTTTTGGCAAACTTAGCTTTGGCCCTAGTGAGAAACCCGTGGTGAGTTGGCTCTGGTGTTTTCCTTTCTCTTTCTCTCTCTTTTTTTTTTTTTTTTTTTTTTTTTTTTTTTTGTCAAACAGAGGGATAAATATCGCCCCCCCCCCCCCCACCCCTTTCCCTCACACACACATACACACTTTTTCTAGAAATGGACCAACTTCAAAGCAGGAGACAACTGCTCTTGGCCCCATGTAATCCTAGCTCTGTTCTCTGTTCTCTGTCCTCTCTCAGAGAGACTAAGGTGGACTGACTATTCAGATTGTGCACGTGCCCCTGACCCAAGGGCTGGTAAGCACCAGTGACCTTTTTGCAATCGATCGTCACGTTTAGGAAGAAATGAGCGGTGGTCTGGTTTCCTTGTTGACCCATAGGTTTGCCAAGATCTGTATTTTCTCTGGGCCCAGAGGACCAATCCTTTCTCTCTGTTCAACCTCCACCTCTAATTGCCTCTAAGCACTAACTTCTCCCAGAGTTGACCAGATTGGGTTCCAAGATTAGGGACAGGGATGGGTACGTGGAGAATGGTTGGGAGGTGGAGGGCCACAGGGATGACTCGCCGCCGCTGTTTCTCCTGAGGACACATGGTCACGCAGCCACCTTAAGACTGTCCCTTCATAAAATCCCTCATTCTGTCACGTCGTGGCAATCAGTTGTCCTCTGCCCACATTCACCATTCATTCATTTATTCCTTCAACAAGTACACAGCCTCCCCACGAGGAGTGCTGCTGCCGGCATGATCTGAAACATCCATTGAGCAATATTGATTGAGTGCCTACTGCGTGTCAAGTGCTGTGCCAGGCACTGACCAGCCAGTGGGAAGGGAAAGACAGCTCCAACCTCACCTCATTCCCCAGGTGAAGGCCACAGGCTCTCTCATATCTGAGCTGTGTTTGCATCTGTATCACCACGCCAGGTTCTGCCTCTGGGTCTCCCTCCCAGGTGCCACCTGTATTAAATGCTGACCCCAAGCTACAGGCTCCGCCAGTGTTCGTTTCTCACCTTTCCTGCCCTCCACCTGTCTTCCCCAACCACCCAGAAAAGGATTCAGAACTAGTAGACTAGACATCAACTAGCTGCCTCTACTTTTCTCTGCCTAGCCCAAGGTCAGGAGAACACCGGAGTCTTTATCTTACCCACATGTGACTGAACAGATCGGAAGTCTGTACCAATCTGGGCGTTTTGGATGCAGGTTTTTTCTAGCCTCCCTATCCACAGCCTTCCCAGAAACCCCTCTGTCACCTAAAGGACCCACCTCCGGGGAAAGGTGAAGGAATGACCCTGTCTCTTACCAGCACCATGCCTTATCCAGGCACTGGCCCTGTACCTCCAGACTCCTCTCTCCCTCCATTCCCACCCTGGCCACCTAGTGGAGCTAGAACCTTAGAGTTGGAAGGAGTCGTAGAGGTTGTCCAGTTGGAATGGCGTCCAGCAGAGTTCATTAACACCAGCCTGGGCTTGTCTCTGCTCCTCAGGCCTTGCATCTTGTCGTCTCCCCTTCATCACCCCCCCCCCATTTCCAAACACATTTGCACACACTCCTGTATAGACACCAAAACCAACTCCTCCGCCCCCGAAGCTGTGCCCTGTGCTCCCCAGGGGCCCCTGCCCAGTCACTCACCCCTTCCTCGTTTCGGCCAGGCTGCCGGAAAGGCCCTGGAGCTTGTTCCTTTGCTGAAGAGGCAGGGAGGTAGGCGCGCCCCCAGTCCTGAGTGTGTGAGCAGAGGGAGGACTGTGGGGTGAGACGGCACGAAAATGAAGTTGACTTTCATGGAAGATTCCTTTCTTTTCTCTGACTGCACAAACCGCATGTACTTTTGGCCTGGCTGCAAGGAGCGACATTGGTTTACTCTTGTACCCTTAAAAAGTTACAGAACTGTGTCTTAAGAGAATTATTTATAGTTACTATAACTGATTTGACAGATGTCAACATAACTGATAAATTATATTTGGTAAATAAAGAGGACGTTTATGTAGGTGGTTGGTTCCTGTGTGTCTCGTCCAGAAGCAGCTTCAAAAGAAAAGACAAATAAAATCAGCTTCAGCTATTGTTTTTGGGCCCCTCTGTTGTCCCACCTCCCTCAGACGTGGAAAGGGGCCAACGTGTGACAAGAAATGGCGCATCTCGCCCTGGCTGGTGCTGCTCAGGGGTTAGAGCATTGGCCCACTCACCGAAGGGTCTTGGCTTCAATTCCTGGTCAAGGGCTTGTACATGGGTTGCAGATTCCATCCCCAGCCCTGGTTGGGATGCAGTGGGGAGGGAGGCACCAACTGAAATCTCTCATGTGGATATTTCTTCTCCCTCTTCCCCTCTCTTCCATTCTTCCTAAAAATCAATGGGAAAATATCCTCAGGTGAGGATTAACAGAAGAAACATCTCTGAAATACAGAGCTCTGTAATAGAAAACATACCTCAGTCATTGATGGAGAAGCCATCGGTGCAGTGGCCCGGGGTTGCTGTATTGTGCCGACGGGTTCAGGTTCCTTCCTGCAGAGGTACCCTTTGGTTGGGTCAAAATAATAATTGTTACTTGTTGAATATTTATGCCTTCCCTGTAAGCCCTTAGGAAATTTACGATGGATTGCAAACAAAGAGTCCGGAGTCAGGCCTTGGTTCAAATCCCCGCTCTTCTGTTTGTGTTGGTGTGAGCTTGACCAAGGAATTTGCCCTCTCTGAACTTCAGTGTCCTCGTCTGTGCTAAAACCTGTTTCCTCGGATTATTGGGAGACTTCATTGAGATAATGCACATACAATACTAAAAATGCCCAGCACAGCCCTGACCCGTTTGACTCAGTGGATAGAGCTTCAGCCTGTGAGCTGAAAGGTCCCGGTTCGATTCCATGTACCTTGGTTCCAGTCAAGGGCATGTACCTTGGTTGCAGGCACATCCCCAGTTGGGGATGTGCAGGAGGCAGTTGATTGATGTTTCTCACTATCCTTCTCCTTCTCTGTAAAAAAAAAAAAAAAAAAAAAAAAAAAAAAAAAAAAATCAATAAAATATATATTTTTTTAAAAAGAATGCCCAGCACATAATAAACCAAAAAATACTAGTCAATGTTAAGGAGGGGAGCATTTAAGAAATTGGCATTTTATGACAAGCCTGAGCTCTAGTACTAACTCTTCAAAGCAGCAATATTAATATGCTATTAAGGGTTAATGGAGCCGGGTCCGGTTTGGCTCAATGGATAGAGCGTCGGCTTGGGGACTGAAAGGTCCCGGTTCAATTCCAGTCAAGGGCATGTACCTTGGTTGCGGGCATATCCCCATTAGGGGGTGTGCAAGAGGCAGCTGATCAATGACTCTCTCTCATTGATGTTTTGAAGTCTCTATCTCTCTCTCACTCTGTACAGAAATCAATAAAATATATTTTTTTAAAAAAAGGGTTAATGGAAAGAGGACAATTGCATGTTGGTTACTATTCATATATTTTTATGCATATAATGTTTTAATATACAGTATAGTATACTGTACAGTATCTGCATAATAAAATCATAATATGCTAATTAGACCGGACAACCTTCCAGATGAAGCCACAGCAGCAGGGGGCCGAGTCCTTTGCACTAATTTCATGCATCAGGCCTCTAGTACTTTTATTATTTTATTTTATTTTATTATTTTTTAAAATATATTTTATTGATTTTGTACAGAGAGGAAGGGAGAGAGATAGAGAGCTAGAAACATCGATGAGAGAGTCATCGACCAGCTGCCTCTTGCACACCCCCCACCGGGGGTATGCCCGCAACCAAGGTACATGCCCTTGACCGGAATCGAACCCCGGACCTTTCAGTCCCTAAGCCGACGCTCTATCCATTGAGCCAAACCGGTCTCGGCTATTTTATTTTATTTTTATTTTTTAATATATTTTACTGATTTTTTACAGAGAGGAAGAGAGAGTTAGAAACATCAATAAGAGAGAATCATCGATCAGCTGCCTCTTGCACACTCCCTACTGGGGATGTGCCCGCAACCAAGATACATCATGCCTTGTCCAGAATCGAACCTGGGACCTTTCGGTCCACGGGCCGACACTCTATCCACTGATCCAAACCGGTTTCAGCTAGTAATTTTAAAAATAGCCTCATTTACAACTTCAAAAGCATCTCTAATAATTGCAAGGCAGATATTATCGCCATTTTATGAGGGAGATACTGGGGCTCAGAGGCGTTAAATGTCTTGCCCCAGGACCTGTATTCACACCCAGGTCTCTCTCAGCCTGGGGCCCTCCTTTATGCATCCAGCCAATAAACCAACTGACCCAGTAGCCCTGTATAGGGAACATAAAAACACTCGTGAAATGATCAGAGATATGGTGCCTCTTAGCTTTGTTCCTCAGACCCCTTGAATTATGGCAAAATGTTCATTGTCTACTGACACAGTGTCTTCCAGGGGGCGTTTGTAAACATGCCTCTCCCATGCCCGCCTCTCTCAGGATATTTTTACAACATAATTACAGGCAACACTGCCATTCCTGCCATCAGCCAGCTAACAGAATCCTCAAGTTTGCTCTCTTCTCCCGCTAAAATTCAGAAGCTGAATAAAGCACAGTATAGTACTATTTCCTGCATGAAACTGTATTTTATTACACTAATTAAATATAAGTGCCCAGGAAAATGTCTGCCTTGGAATATCTAAAAATTAAAAAAACAAGCAAACAAAACCCACCTAAAACTAGGAAACAGAAATTCCAAAAAAGTGAGGATAGCTTGGCCAGTCTGAAAAGAAATTTTAAACACTATTTAAAGAAAGACTTTCTGGCTCTATTCATGCTTAGTTTAGCTAATACCACCTCGCTATTGCTGATTTTTTAAGCTAAATGAAAAATAATGCTAAAATACGTTTAAATGCTATGTCAGTCGGTGTGTGGTGTAGATGCCTTATTTTGAACATACTAGAACAAATTCCTTATTTGGATCATTATGGAAACTATTTTCTCTCTGTCCCTATTAAAGAAATGTTGACAAGTAGATAGAGAACATTGCTTTAAAGGAGCTCCAAACGGTGGCCCGCCTGGG